AGAGATCTCGAGCAGAGAGGGAAGGGGGTTATGTAAAAGCCCTGCGCCAGACGACGGGCGATTACGCGGCCGCACAAAGAACACACCGAACACACAAATTTTAAGCGGAACTACTAAGTGTATCTTTTTGGAAATTTGGATAGCTTCATTTTTGATTCTCTACAACTTTTCCATTGACACCAAAATGGAGTTTTTTAAACTTCTTTTGTATCAAAAATTATAGAGAATTTAAAATTTTATCTAAACGTTATCTTTTATCTTCCTTTATTCAAAGGGAAAATAGAAAGTGTATTAGATAATAAATGCATATAAAATATTGCTACAATTGCTACAATCCTTTCAAAATGTTCACAATTGCAAACAACACAAACACAAACAATTGCAAACAACAACAACAACAACAACACAAATGTTCACAATTCCTACAATACTTTCACAAAAGAAAAGAAAGAAAACTAAAGTTTGGAAACAAAGATCTAAACAAATAAGGCAGATTTGACATGGTAATAAGCTCAAATTCGTTTACAAAAAACTTTCAATTTACTTACAGACGAGAAGATCCAAAACGGAAGCTTATTCCAAACCTTACTACCGAATTTTCTCTAATAGTAATAGTAGTAGCGTCTCTAACAGTAGCGTCTCTAACAGTAGCGTCTCTAACAGTAGCGTCTCTAACAGTAGCGTCTCTAATACTAGCGTCTCTAATACTAGCGTCATCTAAATTCCTCGAAATCTCGAGAACCGCTTATCAGAACTCGAGTGGAAAACAATCAGCGTTAGCCCAACGATGAAAGCGATTTAATCGAAAGTGAAAGCCGTCGTTGCATAGTAAAATGGGAATTCGGGACAAATTTCCAACAAGGAATAGTTCATTTTGAAGTATTTTTGAGCTATCTAGTTAACAAGTGAAATCAAAAAATTGAACTTTGAACAATGATGAGAGCAAACGGTTGTGAGCCGGTTGAGAATCCGTGCTTTGTCTTCATTCATTCCTTCAATCATCCCCTTTTCTTCAGCGGAAAATTGCTCTAACCCATAAATACCTAGTGAATTTCTTTCTTTATATATCAATTAGTGTCGGTTTAAAGAAGATATTTTTAAGCACAAATCCAGAAAGGTTCATTACAGAGCCGTTTAAAGAAAGAACTGTTTCTCCATTGTATCTAATTGAATTTTCCGGAAATTGAGAAAATTTCATTTGCCGATTGCCGAAGCCGATTACCGAAGCCGATTACCGAAGCCGATTGCCGAAGCCGATTGCCGAAGCCGATTGCCGAAGCCGATTGCCGAAGCCGATTGCTTTGAATCGTTAAAATATTCGTTTTCTCGATTTCTAATCTGAATCAGCGCTGAAACTTTTGTTTTTCGCTCGTTTATTTCTACAATTTTGTGTGCGTGAGAGAGAGCAAAAATTGGTTAATTTTTGGTTAATTTTTGACAATTTCTACACGTTCACGAGATCCATTCTCACAAAAACCTCTTTGAAGCTTATGAAATGATTTTTCTTTTCTTTTCTTTTCTTTTCTTCATCGCTTGACCGCTTTTCTTTTTTTGTTTTTCTCACTTTTATAAAGGTTTTTATATGAAAATTGTGAACTTATACAAAATCAAAAAAATTTTTCTTAAAATAAAAGTTGATTCACTTGGAAAATTTCTACATAAAAGCTTGCGAGTTTTGCATAAAATTTTGCAGAAAAATGAGTAAATATCGCTTTTTTAACGACTCCTTACCGCTACGGGTGAGTTTTTTAAAAGTTAAAGTAAAGTTAAAGGTTATGATTGCTGAGAATACAATTGCTGAGTTACAATTGCTGAGGAAGCTCTCTTTTAACTATTATAAGCCTTTTGAAGTTAATGGAAGCTCTTTTTAACTATCAGAACCCTTTTTTGAAGAATCTCTAGTAATTCTGGATTGTTTTTGAGCCTGGTTTAAAGTTTAAATTACTGTAGATTTAATTTTTAGTTCTCCAGGTGAACAATGCACTTTGTATTCCTCAAAATAGTAAACACATTCTTTCTGGCGCAATCCAAAAAGCTAATTAGCTTAGTAGCTTAACAAACGAATCATTGAGTTAGCCAGAAAGGATGCGTTTCCTTTTTAAGCCCAAAGTACGTCTGGACGAAACATTGAACCTTTAAACATTATCTTTTTGAACAATTTAATCCCCTAGGGTGATTTTAATCAAATTTTATCTTTATCTTTATCTTTATCTTCAGATCTATGCTTCATTCAAAGCGAATTTTGTTGAAGCTCTTGATCAAGAATGTTTGGGAACGGTGGATAACAGAGAAAAGATCGTTTTTCAAGGTAATAAACTATTAAAAACGAATTCTATCACTAGGAGTTTATCTATAGGAGTTTTCTACTTATTTCTTGGCACATCTTTTGTCATTTTATATCTTCTCTGCCTTGTAGCAATGGCTCAACAGAAATTCATGAAGATCATCTGTTACAGGATACTGTAAGTGAATCATTTGAAGACAATTGATTAATTTAGACTTACTGATTTAGACTTACTGATCTAGACTTACTGTAATGACTTATTGATTGAGTTGCAGAGAGTCTACTGTAAACTAGTTTAGCTAACGAATCGTATATAAGTAAAGGTCAGTTAACAGAAAAAGTCAACAGAAATTCATGAAGATCATCTGTTACAGGATACTGTAAGTGAATCATTTCGAGATTGATTGATTAGATAATTGATTAATTGATAGATACTGTACTGACTTCTTGATTGAGTTGTAGAGAATTTACTGTAAACTGTAATTTACACTGTAACTTACTGTAATTTACTGTAATTTATTGTAAACTAGTTTAGAATCGTAATCAGGTAACGAATAGAGGTAACTCGTTTCAGTTTTTTCATCGGTATCGTTGATGTCATCAGCATGACACCGAACTCTTTGTTACCAGGTTTATAAATGAAAATTTTCAAAAGAAAAATTGTTTTTAGGATTATTCTAACAATAAGTGACATGGAATCTGATAGAAATACTTTTCAAATAATCAAATATTATCAAATAGACAATCATTAGATAGAGAATAGCAGATAGACAATATTAGATAGACAATATTAGATAGACAATATTAGATAGACAATCACCAGATAGACAATCACTAGATAGACAATCATCAGAAGGCAATCATAGATAGACAACCATTAGATAGACAACCATTAGATAGACAACCATTAGATAGACAATCATAGATAGACAATCATCAGAAGGCAATCATAGATAGACAACCATTAGATAGACAACCATTAGATAGACAACCATTAGATAGACAATCATCAGAAGACAATCATTAGATAGACAATATTAGATAGACAATCATCAAATAGACAAAAGATTCAACTCTGATTCTAGATAAATCGAATTCTATCTAAAGACTTGATCAGATAAAATCGCTAGTCTTACTGTACTTATTTGAATCATAAACTGTAGATAAAAGAGTCTTATTGTAGTTGAGAGTTTAATCAAAAAAGAATGTACTTACTTACTACCAATATGCGATTGTACCCATTTCATCATGATCAGATAGACAATCATTAGATAGACAGACAATCATCATTGTACCATCATAGACAACCATCATAGACAATCATCATAGACAATATGCTATTGTCCCCATTTCATCATGATCATCTCGACCTCTCCCTTTCCAGGCTATCTCCTCATCAACGGTTACTCGTTCTGTGAAAGTCCACTACTCAATTTGTACATTGGATCTGGATGTTTTCGTGAGTTTGTTTAATTTACTTGTTTACTTTACTTCTTTACTTTGCCTACTTTTACTAAAATAAACTATGAGTCTCTAATCTTAGAATTTAAAAATCTTCTTTTCCTTCCTTAAAAACCTTTTGAAAAATCAAATTTTTAAAAACTCTAACAAAAAAGTAAAAAAAATCAATTTTAACAAAAGAAACCTTTAGTTTATCCTCTTATTTACCAATTGTAATACTAAAATAAATATTTTAGCGCTCTGGAGCACTTACTCAGCACTGAGCATCGTTTTAGCGATCAATCGTTGTGTTGACTTTCTTGGGCCAAAATTTCAAGAGGTAAGGAAAAACAAGAGAATTTCAAGAAGAAGAAGAACAGGTGCTCTTCGGCTGGAAAGTTAGAGATCTTTAAATTCCTTTTATCAATCTTGCCTTTAACGTACTGTTAATCTTCTAGATGATTCCTCCATTCATCACTATTTAAACGAAATATTGGGCTCAAGATTAGTTTTATACCAGTTTTGTTGACCAAGAATTTCTGGGTTCTACGACCAGGGCGCAGGCCAGGCTAGGCAGGCCAGGACCAGAGCCAGAAACCCCAGCCAGTACCCAGCTTCTGACCTGGACTTGACCATGATCTAGATCTAGTCTAGTGAACAATCGTGTTGATCAACAAGTCAAGTGCACTAGAAAGGATTCGTTTCCAATTCAACCCACTTGCAGGAGCTCTTCGGCGGGAAACGTCTAATCTTCTGGATGATTCCTCCATTCACCTACGGGATCACTATCTACTTCACCTATCCACCACTCGTCTTCCACACACCAACCGCCAGCTATTACTTCGCTGCTGAGCCACAGAATTCGAAAGTAAACACGAGATTTAAGAGCTAATCAAAAGCCAGCATCTGGTAACAGATAGGGTATTGTATAAGCTATGCCTGGACCTGAACCTGAACCTGAACCTGACCTTGGACCTAGATCGACACTGGATTTGGACCTGAACCTGGATCTAAACCTGAATCTGATACTGGATTTAGACCTGGGTTACCCAGAGCAATACACACAGAATCCACTTCCGGATTCCGATCCTCTTCTTTGTGAAGAATGTCGTTATCAGTAGACTACAGTTAGTACCAGATTCGTAGCAGATCAAAGATCCGTCTAAGTGTATAAGATTGATCTGCCAACACTCACTTTTCCAGACGCCAATCATTTTCTTTATCAACAACGTCGGTGTCGCTATCAGTATCTTCATCTTAAATCTCTTTATGCTCTTTTTCATGTGGAGAATGAATCGAAAAATGAATACATATGCGAATAATTTGCAGAAAATTGTGAGCAATGCTTAGATCTATTGAAATTTCCTCATTCTCAGATCTCTCTTCAATGTTTTGGGATTTGCACGACTGTTCTGATCACTGGTCTTTTTTATGTCGGAATGCAATTCATCGAACTCCCACAATTCATGTACACTGTTACAAATCTATCCTGGCAATTCTCAAATGGTAATTTTAACAATACCCTTCTATCGTTATCGTAATCCAATTCGCTATATAGCTTTGGTAGCTTTCTACCTTTCAGAAAAGAGCCTACATTTATCGTAATCTCTGAAGAGTCAATAATAATCTTCAATAAGGCTTTTGAAGTGTGCTTAGGAGAATCTAAGCAATCGAGAAATCGAGAAGTGTGCCTAGAAGAATCTAACCCTAGGAGAATCTAAGTAATCTTGTTTAAAGCAATCGAATCCAACTTTTCCACAGCTGGACGATGATAACTTTCCTGAAACGCTTGAGAATGGTTTAATAAAGATGTGACAAACTTTTCTACTCAAACTTAACAATTCTCTAGGCTCAATGGCAATTTTCTACATGGCAATCAACAAATCGATGCGTCGCGAGGTGATCAAACTCATTTTCGGCGAAACACAGCGCTCGAATGTGCACAACGCGAATCGAATCTCGTCAAAGGAATCTTAAATTGCTTACAATTGATTGTTTTATGCTTATAACTGATTGTTTGAGTCTGAGCAAAAGAATTGAGGAAAATTGAGCTTTGGCTTTTTGGCTTTTACTTGTTCTTGTTCTTGTTCTTCTTCTTCTTCTTCTCCATCTTCTTCTCCTTCTTCTTCTCCTTCTTCTTCTCCTTCTTCTTCTTCTCCATCTTCTTCTCCATCTTCTTCTCCTTCTTCTTCTCCATCTTCTTCTCCTTCTTCTTCTCCTTCTTCTTCTTCTCCTTCTTCTTCTCCATCTTCTTCTCCATCTTCTTCTCCTTCTTCTTCTCCATCTTCTTCTCCATCTTCTTCTCCTTCTTCTTCTCCTTCTTCTTCTTCTCCATCTTCTTCTCCTTCTTCTTCTCCATCTTCTTCTCCATCTTCTTCTCCTTCTTCTTCTCCTTCTTCTTCTTCTCCATCTTCTTCTCCTTCTTCTTCTCCATCTTCTTCTCCATCTTCTTCTCCTTCTTCTTCTCCTTCTTCTTCTTCTCCTTCTTCTTCTCCATCTTCTTCTCCATCTTCTTCTCCTTCTTCTTCTCCTTCTTCTTCTTCTCCATCTTCTTCTCCTTCTTCTTCTCCATCTTCTTCTCCATCTTCTTCTCCTTCTTCTTCTCCATCTTCTTCTCCATCTTCTTCTCCTTCTTCTTCTCCTTCTTCTTCTTCTCCATCTTCTTCTCCTTCTTCTTCTCCATCTTCTTCTCCATCTTCTTCTCCTTCTTCTTCTCCATCTTCTTCTCCATCTTCTTCTCCTTCTTCTTCTCCTTCTTCTTCTTCTCCATCTTCTTCTCCTTCTTCTTCTCCATCTTCTTCTCCATCTTCTTCTCCTTCTTCTTCTCCATCTTCTTCTCCATCTTCTTCTCCTTCTTCTTCTCCTTCTTCTTCTTCTCCATCTTCTTCTCCTTCTTCTTCTCCATCTTCTTCTCCATCTTCTTCTCCTTCTTCTTCTCCATCTTCTTCTCCATCTTCTTCTCCTTCTTCTTCTCCTTCTTCTTCTTCTCCATCTTCTTCTCCTTCTTCTTCTCCATCTTCTTCTCCATCTTCTTCTCCTTCTTCTTCTCCATCTTCTTCTCCATCTTCTTCTCCTTCTTCTTCTCCTTCTTCTTCTTCTCCATCTTCTTCTCCTTCTTCTTCTCCATCTTCTTCTCCATCTTCTTCTCCTTCTTCTTCTCCATCTTCTTCTCCATCTTCTTCTCCTTCTTCTTCTCCTTCTTCTTCTTCTCCATCTTCTTCTCCTTCTTCTTCTCCATCTTCTTCTCCATCTTCTTCTCCTTCTTCTTCTCCATCTTCTTCTCCATCTTCTTCTCCTTCTTCTTCTCCATCTTCTTCTCCATCTTCTTCTCCTTCTTCTTCTCCTTCTTCTTCTTCTCCATCTTCTTCTCCTTCTTCTTCTCCATCTTCTTCTCCATCTTCTTCTCCTTCTTCTTCTCCATCTTCTTCTCCATCTTCTTCTCCTTCTTCTTCTCCTTCTTCTTCTTCTCCATCTTCTTCTCCTTCTTCTTCTCCATCTTCTTCTCCATCTTCTTCTCCTTCTTCTTCTTCTTGTTCTTGTTGATGACTCGCCGCTTGTAAAACAAATCAATCTTTATTCAAAAATGTATAATAAAAATGAAATGTTTTTAAAAAAGCATAAAATCAAAGATCAGCTTTTTTGATATGAATCTTTTCATCGTTTGGCGTTGAATGTCCATGTTTATCGAGTCCCGGGGTGAAATGGTGTTTGTTTGAAGTCTAGGAATTTAAACCAAACTTTATTAAAGATTTTGTATTGTTTTTAAATAATCGGCTTTTAAAAAACGCTTTTCCCAAAGGAAACCTATAGTTTTTTTTTGATTAAGAGATAATTCTAGGAGCTAAATGATTTCTAAGATCAATCTCGAAGATCTAAGATCACTTTATAGGTTTGATTTTTCAAAAAAACTGCTTGATTTTAAAATATTTGCTTTATAAAATCTAGAAAGAGGAAGTAAATTAGGAAATTTTATTAAATTTCTGTTTCTTTTTTTGATTGATTTTCTTTGAATTTGAATTCAACTCACATTCTTGTCTTTTAATGAATTTTCATTTGTATTTGTGTTTTCCGGTTGATCAACTGGATTATACTTCTCAAAATCTGGCCTTTCTTCTTCCTGAAAAAGGATTAGAATAAAGAAACGAAGGAATTGAGAAGAGGAAGTTGGAGAGTGGATTGAACTCTCGATCTTTTCCTTTCCAGACAATTACTCTAACCACTCAGCTACAGTACTGGACAATGAAATATCATATTTGAAAAACGATCGTCACTTTCGCGCCTCTGTAACTGCCTTGTCTTTGAGTTTAAACTATTAGTGTTATACATTTTTTGAAAGCTCTTTTCAAGGGCTATACAATGGTAATATTAATATTTAGAAATACGGTAAAGGCAAGGGAGTTACAGGAGCGCGAAATTGACGGTCGTTTTTCAAATATCATATTTCATTGTCCAGTAGTGTATCTATTACCTTAGCTTCCTCAAGAGAAGGAAAGAAAGAAGAAAGAAAGAAGAAGAAGAAAGACGAATGAAGTAATTGAGAAGAAAAAGTAGGAGAATGGATTGAACTCTCGATCTCGATCGACTCCCGATTCTTTCCAAACAATTACTCTAACCATTCAACTATCTATTACCTTAGCTTCCTCAAGAGAAAGAAGAAAGAAGAAGAACTACAGCAATCAAGAAAAGAAAATCAAGATTAACTGAAGATTATTTAAGAATACTAGATTACTGTACCTCAAGTTTTAAATATTTAAAGCAAGAAAGAAAGAAAGAAAGAAAGAAAGAAAGAAAGAAAGAAAGAAAGAAGAGAGTTTCGAAATACAAAAAGCCTTAAGAAATCTTGAAGAAGCCGTCAGACGCTTGCCTCAAAAAGGTTTCGCTGATCTAGTGCTGATCTAGTGGATATTGTGCTAAGCATCCAAAGAACTCACATGAAATCCCATATCTTGTTGTCCTTTCATTCTTTTTATTAACGAAAAATTTGAATTTTTATAGAAAATAGTTTCAAAAATTGCTTACTCTGACTGTTTTTGAAATATTTTCATTTGTTTATTGTTTTTGTTTAACTGAGAAAGTGAACTTTGAGAGAAAGGGCAAATTTGTGTCATGAGATTTCGCAAAAACTCTAAGCAAAACACTTTTAAAGTACTTAAATAATGAAATAAAATTGTTTTTTAAATGAAATTAAAGTTTAGATTCGATAAAATTTGTAATTTCTAGCTGGAAATGAGAAAAGTTACATAATAAAATCAAATACCGTATTCTCTCTAATAGTAGTGCGCACTACTATTTTTTGAACCCCCTCCTGGACCGCAATACTATTAAAGAGTTTTATCATTTACCAAAGTAAGACAGATATAAGATTTGTTCCAAAAATTCTTGCAACTCTTTCACATACTCCTTTGGCTCCTTTTGACATACAGTTGTGGGCCGGCGAGTTGACAATTTGTGTCTTGACAAACAACAAAAAGATGTTTTTGTGATTCAACTGGAGCTTGTGATTCATCTGGAGCTTGTGATTCAACTGGAGCTTGTGATTCAACTGGAGCTTGTGATTCAACTGGAGCTTGTGATTCATCTGGAGCTTGTGATTCATCTGGAGCTTGTGATTCATCTGGAGCTTGTGATTCAACTGGAGCTTGTGATTCATCTGGAGCTTGTGATTCAACTGGAGCTTGTGATTCATCTGGAGCTTGTGATTCAACTGGAGCTTGTGATTCAACTGGAGCTTGTGATTCATCTGGAGCTTGTGATTCAACTGGAGCTTGTGATTCAACTGGAGCTTGTGATTCATCTGGAGCTTGTGATTCAACTGGAGCTTGTGATTCAACTGGAGCTTGTGATTCAACTGGAGCTTGTGATTCAACCGGAGCTTGTGATTCATCTGGAGCTTGTGATTCATCTGGAGCTTGTGATTCATCTGGAGCTTGTGATTCAACTGGAGCTTGTGATTCATCTGGAGCTTGTGATTCAACTGGAGCTTGTGATTCATCTGGAGCTTGTGATTCAACTGGAGCTTGTGATTCATCTGGAGCTTGTGATTCAACTGGAGCTTGTGATTCATCTGGAGCTTGTGATTCAACTGGAGCTTGTGATTCAACTGGAGCTTGTGATTCAACTGGAGCTTGTGATTCAACTGGAGCTTGTGATTCAACTGGAGCTTGTGATTCAACCGGAGCTTGTGATTCATCTGGAGCTTGTGATTCAACTGGAGCTTGTGATTCATCTGGAGCTTGTGATTCATCTGGAGCACTTTGCACAACAATTTTAGATTTTTTGCTAACTTTTTCATGTGAAGAATAGTTAATAAATGAATAAAAAAAAAGCCTCACTTTTGCTTGCTTAAATAGCTTTAGAATGTCACATAAACATAAAGTCAAAAAGGTTTAAATGAAAAAGAAGCACCAGAAATTCAAATTTTTGTGGGTGCACTACTATTTTTTGAAGCCCCTCTCGAACCGCAATACTATTAAAGAGTGCACTACTATTAGAGAGCACACTACTATTAAAGAGTGCACTATTATTAGAGAGAATACGGTATTCGAACTTTTTTGGTCTTCTTTTCACTGGGATATTGTTTTTTTTGAGGATACTGTAGAGTTTATTCACTATAGTATTCTTGTAAATTAGAGATAAATGCTCATTTGATGGCTTTTGAGTAAGTAGTCAGATGAAATTGTGCTTTCTAGCATCAGAATTCATTACTGAAGTGAATCATGGTGAAATGCTGCTTTAGATGACAGTTTAAATGAAAAGCTACAACAAAACGAACACCGCCAATCAATTCCCCGATCCTGAAAACCCCTGGGTACACATTTATAGCTGAATATCTTTTTTGTGCGAGCTACAAAGCAAGAGAAATCCCTAGGTAAACGACTAACGAGATGTTCTTTGTGTGGCCGCGTAATCGCTCACGACCTGGCATCCGCCGCTAATACATAGTCGTTCCCTTTTCGACGAGTCAAGGGACGAAAAAGAGATCAACGACGGGGTGTTTTGGGTGTCGCTATTCCCAAAAAAACTCGGGAAACGATTCAAAGCCAAGCGATGTTGATGTGGGAAGGCGACAAGGAGTTTTCCGCGTCATTGAGATGGTTGATTCATGACAAAGCACGGATTCTCAACCGGCTGACAACCGTTTGCAACTGACGTTTCCCTCATTTTCATGGCGTCAATATACCCAAAATTTTACTTTCCTTTGGCTTTTCATTATTTTTTGTGCTGTTTTCAAAACTAATCCTTTTTATTTTAGTGATGGACAAAAGGAAGTAATTTTCCGCTGAAGAAAAGGGGATGATTGAAGGAATGAATCAAGACAAAGCACGGATTCTCAACCGGATCAAGCGGGGATCAAGCTGGGGGACAGCTATCGAGAAATTGCCAGGAAAATCGGTCGTTCACACCAATTGATCAATACCCTATCTCAACGATTCAATGATCTTTTTATCTAGATTCTTATGTAGATACATCCGTTTGGATTGTTTTGTTAGTTAAACAACAGCCAAATTTGGATAAAAAGCTTTTTCGGGTTATAAGCTCAGGCTTAGGCTTAGGCTCCAATTTGGCTGCTGTTTAACTATTGGGTTGATGCATAATTATCCGGACTTCTTTTTGCGTGCTTGTATCTTTTTTGTTTTGAAAGCTTTTTGTCTATTTCTTTTTTTTAAATATTCGTTATTCTTTAGTGAACAAAATGCGTGTCGACAATCATATCCATCTTCGCCATATCATGCTCTACCACTTCGAAAAGGGATGGTCTGCCGCAGAGTCGTTTCGCGATCTCAAAGAACTGGAGAAGCCCCAACGGACTACCACGTCAATCGATCGCTCAAAAATTGGCAAACAAATAAGATCTACAACGATTTGGATGACTTGATAGACGATGTTAAAGCGTGGATTGCCTCCAAAGATCGTTTATTCTTCGCTCGTGGAATCGATCGTCTTCCAAGCAAATGGCAATCAGTTATTGATGTAGGCGGTGAATATGCTCCAGAATAATCAATTAAACATATTTTTCTAACTATTTATGTTATTTTTTGTTAAATAAAATCATTTATAAAAGAAGTCCGGTTAATTATGCATCAACCCAATAGTAAAACAATTCAAACGGATTTATCGACATAAGAGGAAATGAGTTGTACTTGAACACAAAAACATATTCATTTCTGTTTCATTTTAAGCAAATTGCTTTCAGATAATGGATTTAGATTTAATTTATTGAAATAAAGTTATTTTATAGAAAGAAAATCCTTTAAAGAACTTCTTTGTCAAAGATTTCGCTGAAATTCGTCTTTTTCGGTTGATTTCCTTTCTTTTTGTCGTATTTGACAGATGGATAGTCCTCGATTCGTTCCTGAAAGCTAGATTTGATAAAAATTTCACAATAAATTAGTAATTAGATTTGAAAACTTAATCCTAAGCCTAAGCATGAGATCGCATCCGTTTCCTTTCTTTTTCCATTCCTATTTTGCAATTATTCGCGTCGCATTTTTTTCGTCTTTCTCTCTTGCCGAAATTATTTTTTATTGGCAGAGCTTCTTTTTGGCAGAGCTTTTTTGGCAGCTTCTTTTTGGCAGCTTCTTTTTGGCAGCTTCTTTTTGGCAGCTTCTTTTTGGCAGCTTCTTTTTGGCAGCTTCTTTTTGGCAGCTTCTTTTTGGCAGCTTGTTTTTGGCAGAGCTTTTTTGGCAGCTTCTTTTTGGCAGCTTCTTTTTGGCAGAGCTTTTTTGGCAGCTTCTTTTTGGCAGCTTCTTTTTGGCAGCTTCTTTTTGGCAGCTTCTTTTTGGCAGCTTCTTTTTGGCAGAGCTTTTTTGGCAGCTTCTTTTTGGCAGAGCTTTTTTGGCAGCTTCTTTTTGGCAGCTTCTTTTTGGCAGCTTCTTTTTGGCAGCTTCTTTTTGGCAGCTTCTTTTTGGCAGAGCTTTTTTGGCAGCTTCTTTTTTGGCAGCTTCTTTTGGCAGCTTCTTTTTGGCAGCTTGTTTTTGGCAGCTTGTTTTTTGGCAGAGCTTTTTGGCAGCTTCTTTTTGGCAGCTTCTTTTGGCAGAGCTTTTTTGGCAGCTTCTTTTTGGCAGCTTCTTTTTGGCAGAGCTTTTTTGGCAGCTTCTTTTTGGCAGCTTCTTTTTGGCAGAGCTTTTTTGGCAGCTTCTTTTTGGCAGCTTCTTTTTGGCAGAGCTTTTTTGGCAGCTTCTTTTTGGCAGCTTCTTTTGGCAGAGCTTTTTTTGGCAGCTTCTTTTTGGCAGCTTCTTTTTGGCAGAGCTTTTTGGCAGCTTCTTTTTGGCAGCTTCTTTTTGGCAGAGCTTTTTTGGCAGCTTCTTTTTGGCAGCTTCTTTTTGGCAGAGCTTTTTTGGCAGCTTCTTTTTGGCAGCTTCTTTTTGGGGTTCGGGTTTTTGCCTTCGTTCTTGGGGCACTTTGATGTTTCTATTGCTGCTTTTGTAATGGGTATCGTTGCATTTTTGGGTTCTATACTAATAAACAGTAAAATTATAAATTCAATTTACTTTATGCTACCCTTTAAGGTTTTAAATCCTGTTTAGATTGCTGGTTTAACACTGTGGAAAGAACTTACAAACATTTGTATCGCCATCGACGAAGTATCAATCGGTTCGGTACTCTTATCACGAGTATTAACCTTATGTTGAATGCTGCGTGTTCTTGTTATTTTGTAAGCGTTTTGGGGAAATCCTTTGAACCTTTTTATGCTACTCGGCTATTCTGAAGCAAAGTCATCCCCGATTATAAGATTAAAGCGGGTCGCATCCCAAACTATGGTACTACTTTCAAATTTTTTAAATAAATCAATGCTTTCAGTGCTCAGGAATGATTTCAAAAATAGAATTGTATGGAAAGGAAGCTGAGAATTGTGGAATTATTGTTGAAATCTTTAACTCTAACATACTTTCGGTCTTCTTTTGATCAATTTCCCTCCGATTCTCAGCTCGCTCGGATCGGTGAACGCGATTCGCTCGGCCATCGCGAAACCAGCCTCGCTTCGGACCTTGGATATGCAATGAATTGAGCATAAACAAAGCTAATCCTTAACCTATTCCAAAAATACTTACATTTGGATCCATTTTCCTTTGGCTTTTGTCGTAGAGAATTGAAATTGAAATCAAAAAATGATTGATAAATCTAAGTGAATGACAAAAATTTCTCTTTTTTTTTTTGTCATTCTTCAACTAAAGACTCTGCACTTTTGGTAAATAAGAAAAAACGAAAAATTTGACGTATCGCTTTGTGATCTTTTGAAGAAATAGCAAATGTTTATGAGATTTTCAGGTTTTTTTTAGGTATATTGAGTGAGAAAGATTATCGATTATCGAAATTTGGATTCTCTGGATTCATTACAGTCATTCTAAGCATCTATAATTGATATTCTATTTTAAAAAAAACTATAAATTCCCGTTCTGAAAATCTTTTTAGGCCCGGTTTAATTACCCAAGTCTGACCCCACACATCCATGGCAGTTCGCTGGCTGCAGCTTTTTCCTACCAGTACCTAAGGTACGTACAAAGTTGGGTAATTAAACGAATTAGAAAGCTTTTTCGGTCGCCTGTACCCAAGCAGAGTGCCAGAAGCAGCTTTTTCCTACCAGTGACACCTAGGGTAAGCACAAACTTGGGTAATTAAACCGGCTCGGAACCTCTTCCATTACTTTTATCCACGACATTGTGCCAGATGCAGCTTTTCCCTACCAGTGACACCTAGGGTACGTAGAAACTTGGGTAAATTAAACCAACTAGAGAGCTTTTTCGGCCGCCTGTACCCAAGCAGAGTACCAGATGACGATTTTTCCTACCAGTGACACTAAACGTTTTCTTGGAACCAAAAATAGTGCTCTTCGTTATAGCGAAGTTCAACTAATCTAAAGAAAATTTGAAAATAAACGAAAAACTTGAAAAATCAAGTGCTTTTTCAAAAGAGCTCAAAAATGAACCAGTAAAATTGGGGGTGGCTACTTTGCGCCAAATTTTTTTGCGCAACTAGATCTTTTGCGCAACTAGGCCTTTTGCGCAACTAGGCCTTTTGCGCACGTAGATCTTTTGTGCACCTAGGTCTTTTACGCAACTAGGCCTTTTGCGCACGTAGATCTTTTGTGCACCTAGGTCTTTTACGCAACTAGGCCTTTTGCGCACCTAGATCTTTTGCGCACCTAGGCCTTTTGCGCACCTAGGTCTTTTGCGCAACTCACCATAACTTTCTTGATCTTGTAGATCTCAACAATTGTAACATGACACCAAACTTTGTATCGAAAATTCGACTTTTAAACATTTTTCAAAGTAATTTATTGAATCTTTCTTTATGTAGTTGAATAAAATTATAAATTTATCCTTTTTCGTGACTTGATTCCAAAATTCTTTGTGCTTTTCAAAGAAAATTTTGAAACGAATGCCCTAGAAAGAGGGTGTTGATGATTTTGAGCGCAAAGTAAACAGGAATCATTCTCTGTAACTCAGGAATTCATCGTGTAAACGCAGCAAATCTGGCGTAATGTCTTTAAAGCTTTTCAAAAAAATATTTTATTGCAAAAAAAAGAACAATCTCTATAGTAGAATTGTTGTTTTGTTTATTGTTCGTTTAGATTTGATTCGGCTTTCTCTTTGTTTTCGTTTTTGATTGTCTTGTCGTCAACAATCCCTTTCTGAAATGAGAAAGTTGAAATGAAATTTGAGAATCTGATATTTCGATCTAAAACAATTTCTTTAAAAAAAAACTGTACCTGATTTGGCGATAGATCTCTCTCGAAATCCCTTTCAGTTTTCTTTAAAGCGTGCTCTCTTGTCTCGTTCTCATTGCCATAATCATTGAATTTCTGGAAATAAGCTGTTATCTAAAAGCTAGATATCTAAAAGCTAGATATCTAAAATCTAATTTTCTAAAATCTATCTTTATTTTAATAAAAGCTATCGTACTCGATTTTCTTCAGATTTCTTCAATTCCAACCTATTACAACTTGTCGAGGATTTTCTGGATCAGAAATGTTGAAATGGTTAAAGAATTGAAGTTAAAGTCAATTCTAGTTAAAGTTCTAGGCTTTAGTTTGAACAATATTTGCAGTTTTCATTTAAAACCGACTCCAGTAGCTGCTTTGGTGATTCCTTCTTCAATCCTATCCATAATTGGGGTGTCCATGATGGAGATTCTTCGCTCTAAAGGTTTCAACTTCTGAAAATTGATTTCGATGCAAAGATTGAAAATCGATGAAAGAATGAAAGAATGAAAGAATGAAAGAATGAAAGAATGAAAGAATGAAAGAATGAAAGAATGATAGAATGATAGAATGATTGAATGATAGAATAAAAGAATGAAAGAATGATAGAATGATTGAATGATAGAATGATAGAATGATAGAATGAAGGAATGAGGTGTGAGAATGCAAATGGCAGAAGTGATTCATTTATTTTCTTAAATCAGTATCAGCTCAAGCTTACACATTTCACAAAGCAAGATAGAAGTCAATCTTTAAAAAGCTTTACCAAAATCGATTTACGAATTCGGTAATGATTTGCTTTATGTTCTATTTCCTCATGTTGTTTATTTGTCTAAAGCACAAGTTGTTGATGAAAGAAATTGTCGCTGAAGAGAGAAAAATAGAGAAAAATAGAGAAAAGAGATCGCCTTTTTGTCCTTTTCGGATGTACTTTTGCGGTCCAAAAGCCAAAATAATAAAAATAATGACGGCTTTCAAAAAAAATTGAATAAAGATTTTGAAATAATGAATCGAATCGATGTAATTTTTAGATCTGATGGATAAAATAGAGATTGTTTAGAATTGGTTAGATTGAATGAATTGAATGAATCAAGAGAATCAAGAGAAGCAAGAGAATCAAGAGAATCAAGAGACAAAGGCTTTAAGGCAAAAATCGATCCCAAGAATTCGGGCATAGTGACGGGAAAGCTCAGTCGTTGCATCGTTGAGATAGGTACTGATCAATTGGTGTGAACGATCGATTTTCCTGACAATTTCTCGATAGCTGTCTTGATCCCCCGCTTGATTCATTGCTTCAATCATCCCTTTTCTTCAGCGGAAAACTTGCCTCCTTTTGTCTAGCACTAAAATAAAAAGATTTGTTTTCAAAAATAGAATAGGAAATAATGAAAAGCACAAAGAAAAGCAAAATTTGGGCATAGTTACGGGCAAAAAGCGGGAAAGCTCAGCTGCTGATTGTTTCTTTGCCTCTTACTAATGCGCGTAAAGATTCACCTTCGCTAAGTGCCCGTAAACATCTTATAGAATGGACTACATTGATTCCGAATTCGTTTTCAATTTTTCCCCTTGAGGCCTGAGATATCTGGGTTACAAGTTTCAGGCCCACTCGCTCGATTCCATTTTTCGCAACGGAGCCAACTAGCGACGTGGCAAGAAAACTGGATTCCACGAGTTCGACGACTGCAAAAGGGAGCTTGTTTCAGATGCCTATCTATTTGGAGCTTGTGCCACATGAAGAGCGATTGTGAGGCCGAGCAAAGAGCACCTAAAGGAGGTACGCGGCCAGAAAGCTGCCCAGGATTCCACGAGTTCGACGACTGCAAAAGAGAGCTTGTTTCAGATGCCTATCTATTTAAAGCTTGTGCCAGATGAAGGGCGATTGTATGGCCGCACAAAGAGCACTTTGCCAGTCATTTACCCAGGGACTTGTAGCAAGATGTTCAGAAAAGTTTGCAGTAAGTAAAGCTGTAAATGTGTACCCGGGGGTTTTCAGGGTCAGGAAATCGTTTGGAACTATCCACTCGATGATCAGATGTCTAGATAGTGAAAATCTTGAATCCAAAAGAAAAAGAAATTCCCAAAAAATCAACATCAGCGATATTTCCTTGTTTTTCGTGATTTTCTAGGGAAATTGTTTGTCAAAATTGTCAAAAATCGTTTGTTTATTCAAATTTTCTTTCTTTTTTCAGCTTTTTAGGGTTGAGGATAATATTTTTGAAGAAAATTCGCGTATTTAAAGGAGGGAAAAGCTGGAGGAGTGATCAATCAACATCAATCACATCCACAAAAGCTAGTTTTTAAAGCTATAATTCGAATTTGAAGCTTCATAGCTTCTGTTATTTGATTATTGATTACTTTCGTTGTTAGATCTGTCGTTGATTACTGTAAAGTCTGTTTTATACTAAAGTAATGTCAGAAAACCTTAAACTAACTCGTATTTTTCTTTCTTTTCTAGTCGCTTTTTTTGTAGTTAGTAGTTATTGCCTTGACGATGCAACGCCTGGTCTACGCGGCTCAATTGGGCTTTGTAGAGATCCGCTGGGACTCTTTGGCCCGAATCTAGCACCTCAAAATACGCGAGAGCTTTTCTATTCCACCAAATACAAAGCATCACCTTTTGGGAGTCGGTTTTGGCTGTTCACCAGCGTCCAACCACTGCCGTTTTCTCGTTGTGTTCTCGTAAAGTATCCACTTTTCATCTGACGTAACAATAGAGTCTTTGGACGTAACAATGGAGACATAACCGACCGTCTTTGCGCGGTCAACGAGAATTCCAGCCATTATAACTCGAGCCGCCTTGTTTGCGCATTGTTTGCCCCCCCCCCCCGCCTCGAGCCTTGTTTGCGTCGCTGAGCTGATGTGGCATCCATTTTCCACACCGATTCGTCTTGTTCGATTCAATTCGATTCGTCCAAACGTGCAAATGGCCATTCTCCAATGGTTGAAGCTGGAGGAGTGATGAATCAACATCATCAAGCTTCATAGATCTATTGTTGATTACTCTAAAGTCTGTTTTGTACTAAAGTAATGTCAAAAACCTTAAACTAACTCGTATTTTTCTTTTTCAATTTATAAATTAATCAAAATCAAAATCAAATTCATTAGTTTCCAGATACTTTTAAATTCTCAGCGTTCAAAAGAAGAAAAACAATGCCTGGGATCATTGACAAAACTAAAGAAGCCGTCTCTAACGCTGCTGATGCGGTTAGTTTTAAAAAGATAAGACAAAACTATTTACTGTATTCAATAAAAGATTCAAATTCTTGAAAAACTAAGTTATTATTTGATTTAAAAGGTTAAACTCTTAAAAACAAACTTTCAAAAAAAGAAAGACCAAGAAAGTAGCGAAAATCGAGATTTTTTTTTGTTTTCTAGTTGTTTTCTAGTCGTTTTTCTTAGTTTCAGAACTAATAATATTAGAATTTTCTTTAAAATTTAACATTTGATTTCAGGTGAAGGACAAGTACCACGATTTGACCGATTCGGCTCAACAGCACGAGGAACGAGCTCGCGAGAAGGCTGAGAGCGCCTGGAGCGAGGCCAAGGATAAAGCGCATGAGGCGGTGGGTAGATATGAGAAATTCGAAGCTGAATCTAATTCCACCTTCATTTTCTTGTTTCTTCGACATTTCTTGGCCGTTTTCCATTTCTTTTTTCGCCGCTTGCTCTAAAATTTTGTCTAAAAGGGGAGAATGTTGATTTAAATCTGTAGACAGATCAATCTCCCAAGAAAACCAAAGTGAAATTAGTATCGGCTTGGAATTTTCTCGTCTAGCAGTTGGTGGATAAAAGAAATATCTAATAATAGTAGAAAAATGCTTAATCTGGATAGATTTAAATAAAAAAGTAGGAGAATTTTAAAACTCAGCCTAGCTTTATCTAGGTTGATGCTTACCTACAGCCGATACTAATTCCACTTTCGTTTTCTTGGCCCATTGATCTTTGTCTACAGAAATAAATGAACATTTTCCTCTTTTAGACAAACTGCTGTAATTGCCGTAACTACTGTAATAGTATCCCACTCCCCATAATGACGGTGTGGAGTGTTGCGTAGTCTAGCTTTGAACAAGTTTTTCTCGACACTGGTTTAAGCTAAAATGCTACAACATATATCAAAAAATAGCTGAGATTCAGGGCTATTTTTTGATACCAAAGTGAGCATCGTAGCATAAAGCAGCGCGGAGAACGGGATGTTTAAAGTTAGACTACGCAACCATCCCGAAAAAACGCCTTTTTCTCGACACTGGTTTATGCTACAATGCTCATTTAGATATCAAAAAATAGCTGAAATTCAGGGCTATTTTTTGATATCTAAACGAGCATTGTAGCATAAACCAGTGTCGAGAAAAACTCGTTCAAAGCTAGACTACGCAACACTCCGCACCGTCATTATGGCGGTGGGGTACTATTACAGTATTTATGGTAAGCATAAACCTAGACAAAGCTAGGCTGCGTTTTTCGAATTCTAAATTAGAAATTAGAAATTAGAACTTTACAGTAAAAGAAAGCTGTGAAGATCCATTTTTTTTTTTCTTAAAAGTTTAATTGTAAGGAATTTTCAGAAGGAAAGCGCAAAGGATTGGATGGAAGACAAGTACGAGAACATCAAGGAACACTAAAACAACCACCACATCCTTTGTAAAAAAGATTTTAAATCCTTTTTTTACTTTGATTGAAATGTAATTCTCTTTCTAATAAAGCTTACAATGAAAATTGAAAAGCAGAAAAACTGTCTCTAAAAGCCATAAAACAGAAACATTCTGAAAATCTAGAAGTTACTAGAAAAGTTACTAGAAAAACTTTTTATAAACTCAAAAAAGTTATCAAGTTTCCTTTTTTACTTTGATTGAAATGTAATTCTTTTCAATAAAGCTTACAATGAAACTTCTCAAAGTCTCAAAGCTAACACTAACCCCAAATATGGGTAATTGAACCCATTTTGTCAACACTTTCTCGGTATCTATTTACCCCGTGTGCCAGAAGGTAAGCGATTGTGCGCGCCTCTAAAGTACACCCGCTCATCACCATTTCCGCTAACCCCAAACATGGGTAATTGAACCCATTTTGTCAACACTTTCTCGGTATCTATTTACCCCGTGTGCCAGAAGGTGAGCGATTGTGTGCTCCTCTAAAGTACACCCGCTTATCACCATTTCCGCTAACCCCAAACATGGGTAATTGAACCCATTTTGTCAACACTTTCTCGGTATCTATTTACCCCGTGTACCAGAAGGTAAGCGATTGTGGGCTCCTCTAAAGTACACCCGCTTCATCACCATTTCAGCTGGGAATTACGAAACTTTAAAATGGATTTGTCCAGAGATTGATGTTAAATTGAAAATTCAAAGAATAATGAGAATAAAAGCAGAGCAGAGCAAAAAAAATGAATTTTCACAGCTTTCTTTTACTCTAAAAGCCATAAAACAGAAAGATTCTGAAAATCCCGAAGTTACTAGAAAAACTCCTTATAACCCAGTTTCTAGCCAGACCGTTCACGGCCAGTTGGTCTAGTGGTATGATTCTCGCTTAGGGTGCGAGAGGTCCCGGGTTCAATCCCCGGACTGGCCCAAACTTTTTTAATTTATTATTTATTGAGCTCAGGCTTTATAACCCTTCTTCCCCATCGGAATTTTCACAGCTTTCTTTTACTCGAAAACAGAAACATTCTGAAAATCCAGAAGTTACTAGAAAATCGTTTTATAAACTCAAAAAAGTTATCAAGTTTCTTCAATGAATTTTAAACTTTCAAAATCTACCTTAACCTTGTCTCTAGCTTTATCTAATCTATTCCTTTTTGTTCTTTCAATATTTCCTTATCGAATCAAAGCAAAAGTAGATATTGGGTTGGTGGAAAAGTCCTTTCCGTTTTTTTGGGAGAGTATCTTAAATTTGTCGGATTTTGACGTTTTATAGCTCATTCTAAAGCTGAATTCAAGACGGATCGATTGGTAAAAACCGTTTTGAGATATCTCTTTTCTAAAAGTTTTTACAGCTATTTTAGTAAAGAGCGGCAGAGCCAAAAAGAGCCAATAGATTGAATAAAAACTAATCGAGATTACGGTCTTCAAAAGGGAACCTTTTAATAAAAGAAAAAGAAAGAAAAAGAAGAAAAGAAGAAAAGAAGAAAAAGAAGAAAGAAAGAGAGTTTCGAAAAACAAGAAGCCTTAAGAAATCTTGAAGAAGCCGTCAGATGCTTGCCTCAAAAAGGTTTCGCTGATCTAGTGCTGATCTAGTGGATAGTGTGCTAAGCAGCCAAATCTATTCCATTTTTTGATCTCAAGTCAACTATCTTCCACATCCAAAATAGATGTGGAAGATAGTTTTGAGCGAAATCATTTCCCGTTTTGAACGAAATCATTTCCGTTAAAGAATCATTTCCCGCAAGAGCTGGCTTGTGATATTTCTTTAGTAGAAGCTGACTGTTGTCTTTTATTGTTCTCTGTTGTGGCTTTGGAAATAAAGATGAGACATAGTGCTGTTGTTTCTCTAAAGCTTTTGAAATAGCTTTTTACAGTTCTTGATTTCTATTTGCAGTTGATGTTCTTAGAGATTTTAGTAGAAGCTGACTGTTGTCTTTTATTGTTCTCTGTTGTGGCTTTGGAAATAAAGATGAGACATAGTGCTGTTGTTTTTCTAAAGCTTTTGAAATAGATTTTTAAAGTTCTTGATTTCTATTTGCAGTTGAATGTTCTTAGAAGAGCTGGCTTGTGATATTTCTTTAGTAGAAGCTGACTTTGGTCTTTTATTGTTGTGTTGTGGCTTTGGAAATAAAGATGAGGCTGTGCTAAGTAATAGTGCTGTTGTTTCTCAAAAGCTTTTGAAATAGCTTTTTACAGTTCTTGATTTCTATTTGCAGTTGAATGTTCTTCGCTTTTAAAATCGCTTTAAAAAATGTAGCTTTTAAAATCTAATTTCTGGTTTGTTTAGCTAAAAAATGTGCTTATTTAGAAAATTGTTTAGTAAATTGTTTAGTAAATTTTCTATAATCTTTTTTCAAGGTTTAAAATTCGTGAATTCATTTATTTTCAATATAAGAATTAGATGCTATTGAATGAAGAAAAGGAAAGAGAATAAGGAGAGGTTAAAGTTGAATAGAGAAACAGATATCCATAAAAATCTTTTGCACTAATGAAAGCTTCTTTAGTGTTCATCGATTTTTCGGCCAGCTTGATGCATCTTGTCACTAGCCCAATCCTTTGCTTGTTCTGTCTGAAAAAAAGAGTAAATGTTTATGCAAATATGCAAATAAAGCATAAATATATATTTGAAATTGAGCATAAATATATATTTCCCATTTGTACATGTACAATTCGCATACATTCACTTCCCATTCTCATGACAAAAACGGAAACAATTTCCCAAGCTCAGCTTCTCTCACTTTCTTTTGCTAAAAAAGACAAAAAGATACATCTTTTCTTTCTTCTTTCTTCTTTCTTTCTTTCTTCTTTCTTCTTTCTTTCTCTTCTAATAAGCTAGATAAGCTTCAGATGCCATTCTCATGACAAAAACGGAAACAATTTCCCAAGCTCTTTTTTTTTTTCCTAAGCCTAAGCTAGATAAGCTTTTTTTCTAGCTTCTGATATGCTAAACTTCTTTAAAATCTATTTAATTAAAAGAAATTTCAATAAATTTCAATAAATTAAAAGAAATTGCTGAAATTTTTATAATTTTTAATATTTTTATATAAAAATCAAGCTCAACCATAAATCACAATCAAATTTTTGAATCTTTTTTTAAGGTCGAAGTTTAAAAGTGAAATAAAGATGATTTGTTAATAAAGCTACATATCAGATAGATCAACAACGTCTAAAATATTGAGCTCATCGCTTTTGCTAACCTTGTTTTGAGCCTTGTCCTTCGTTTGATCCCAGGCTGATTGAGCGTTGTCGCGAGCTCGCTCCTCGTGCGTGTTTCCAGTCATATCATTGAATTTGTCTTTCACCTGTAAAATTTAATCAATCATTTTCTTTAATTCATCTCTTTTAATCAATAATATACTCATATTCGCTTTTAAAATTAATTCAAAATTGAAGAAATCTAAAGAAATCTAAAGAAATAAGTCAATTATTCTTTTACCCTCGACTATTCATTGATTTCATCCTTGTTCTGTCGTATTCTAGAGTTAAAATTCGAAAGATTACTATTGAATTGAATCTTAGAAACATTTCCCTGTAGACTATTCAGTTTTTGATGTTTCAAAAAAAAGCCCTACAGCTTCAGCGGCATTCGAGACAGCCTCCTTGGTTTTGTCGATAACTCCGGGCATGTTTACGTGAAGAAAATTTGATTTCTGAAAGGATTTCAATAAGATAAAGCTTCGATTTATGAATATAAAACAAATCGAAAGATAAAAAGATTAAAAAAAAGGATGAAACTTTAAGAAAAGAGTGAAGGAAAGAGTTTTAGTCTCTTGAGAAGTCAGAAAGCTGAAGTAATTATTTAAACGCTAATATCTCTTCAAAGAAAAGCTATAAGAAAAGCTATCTCTTTAATAGATATTTAGTTTATAAGTAAATCCTTACATTTATTGTTCTATAACGATTCTCAGATCAAAAAAAGAGCTATAAAAAGAGAGAAAAAGAGAGAAAACGATTTCAAAAAGGCTTTCATTTTAAAACTTAAAGGAATTCACTGATACTAAGGCATTTAAAGATACATTTAAAGGCAAAATAATAAATTGAATGCAAAAAAATCCTTTGTAAAATGCTCAAACTGTGGATTTCCAAAGCCTTCCGCCGTCTATTTATTCCCCGATTCCTCCAAATGCCCTTTTGTTATCGTCTTCACCCGCGCAAATCCCCCCAGTATTCCCTAAAAGTGCAAAAGTGCGCTCAGAGAAGCAACAACAACTCCACCAAATCCATTCTCTTTTTCAGCGGTCAATAATATTTTTCTAAGAGTTCATTTCCCTTGTCACAACAGGAAGGGTACAAGGCTGAAAGGCTGAAAAACAAAGTCTAGTCTGACGGGATTACTGGCCACAAATAAATGTCTTTTTTTGGAAGAATCTAGACCAAAAGTGCAACTGGATCTTGTTTAGAATGTGTCTGAAATTGAAAGAGTTATGTAATTTCTTCAAATTCTTCCTTGAAACCTGAAAATTCTGTAACATGTGCTTAAGTTTGAAACTTTTTGAAATTGAATCGATTACACGGTTTACGATAGCTCGTCAAGCATCAGAATCAATCAACCAATCAAGGATCATATCAGTTACTCATGAAAATCTAAAGTTATTCATTACTCAGGAATAAAGTGCGTTTAAGATTACCGGAAAATAAACATCTAAATACATCTAAATAAATAGATTACATCTAAATAAACATTTCTCCAGAAAAAACAAAAATTTGGGCTAGTCCGGGGATCGAACCCGGGACCTCTCGCACCCAAAGCGAGAATCATACCACTAGACCAACCAGCCACGAAAGATCGACGTGGGAAGAGGGGTTATAAAGTCTCAGCTAAATAAATAAAAATTAAAAAGTTCGGGCCAGTCCGGGGATTGAACCCGGGACCTCTCGCACCCTAAGCGAGAATCATACCACTAGACCAACTGGCCGTGAACGGTCTGGCTAGAAACTGGCTTATAAGGAGCCTGAAGCAGCCGTGATTGAGGCGATCTTTTGGGTGTTTCACTTGGGAAAAGCTGGTTTTAGCGTGAAGATGGACTGTTGGAAAAAGAGAGAAAAGATCAAAAATGAAAGGAAAAGCGATTGAGACTTGTATAGAGTAACTATCGTACTCGTTTTGATGCATATCGATAGCTGAAACGGTAGTTTATTGAATAGTTCAAGTTGAGCTAGTTTAAGCCAAAGTATTCAACTATTTTCGAGCTTATAGGTTATTTTTCTTAAAGAGATTCAAGAGATTCAACTAATTTTTACTTGATAGACATTTTTTTGTGCATTTTCTTGCGTTTTTTAGTTGTTTACTGAGTCAAATGCAACTGAAGCTTCAGATTTTATTCGGGCAATATTCACGAGGAGTTTTTAAAGCAAATGAAATCAAAAGTTGTTTCTTTCAAATGTTTAAACGATTAAAAATGATTCAAAGAATGAAATTAATGAATTAAATGAATGAAAGTTCAACTTTTGATCTCAAAATTTACAATCTCAAAGCAAAAAAGGAATTGCACAAAGGAAAATACAAGTTTAAAGTTTAAAAAAGGAATTTTTTATGAAAACTTGTTAGATATTTGTTTTATTGAAGAAATTGGAGATTCGATAGCTTTGGTTTTTCAATATTTCTTGAACTTTTTCTAATGTTCATCGATTTTTCGGCCAGCTTTGTGCAACTTCTCGCTGGCCCAATCCTTGGCTTGTTCTTTCTGAAAAATTGGTTCATTGAAAGCTTTATTGAATAGCTTAATAATTAAATATTTAAAGTTAAACAGTTGAAGAAGTTAAGCAAGAAATTAAACAAGAAGTTAAGCAAGAAGTTAAACATTTAAAGACAAAAGCCTATCAACTTTGTAGTTCGGTTTCAAAATTAGATTTTCCCTTTGTTTTTGAATAAAGCTAAGGCTAATCCTTTAGTTTGTTCTATAATTTGAATCCTATAGCTAATCCTATAACTAATTCTATAGCTAATCTTATAGCTAATCCTATAGCTAATTTTATAGCTAATCCTATAGCTAATTTTATAGCTAATTCTATAGCTATTCCTATAGCTAATTTTATAGCTAATCCAATTTCCTTTTCAATAATCAACCTGACCTTGCAGTGAGCCTTGTCCTTTGTCTGATCCCAGGCATCTTGAGCCGATTCACGGGCTCGTTCCTCATGCTCTTCCTTTGAATCTGTCAAATCATGGTACTTGTCCTTCACCTGAAATTAAGAATATTCTTTATTGCTTGAATTGCTTGAATTGATTGAATTGCTTGAATTGTTTGAATTGCTTGAATTGATTGAATTGCTTGAATAGTTATTGAATATTACTATTAGATCTTTGAATCTTTGATCTTTGAGATCTTTCAATCTTTGAATCAAAAACTGACCGCATCAGCAGCGTTAGAGACAGCCTCCTTGGTTTTGTCAATGATTCCGGGCATTTTTTTCTTTTTTTGAACGCTGAGAATTTGAAAGTATCTAGAAAATTATATTTTCTTTTCGACTTACAGTAAGTTTACATTCAAATTATTTCAATAAGCGGAAATTTAAAGTAAAACAAAGAAACAAACAAAAGAACAAGTTGAATAGTGATAGAATTTGAGGTTGTAGCTTGGATTTATCTAATATTCAAAGGTTTTATAAGACTAAAAGCAATCAGCTGAATGTTTTAGACATCGTTGACTAAGATCTGACTAAGATCTGACTAAGAAATGATCGTTACTAGATTCTAAGATGAAAGTTATAGTAAGTAAGTTGTCTAACTTGTCACTTTTAAGTTACTGTACTTTGGAAAAGCACAGTAACAGTACAGTAACTTTTAAAGTACAGTAACTTACAAGTTTTAGATAAAAGCTCAAGTTTTAGATAAAATAAAAGCTAAGGAAGATTTGAGAATGCTCATCTCATCAACATTTTGGAGTATTTATATCATTTGAATGCACTTTTGTTGACATCGTCTGGAGGCGGGCCATTTCCCAAAAAAAAGATCAAAAGTACTCTAGAAGAAAGAAATGTAGAAGCTTTGAGAAAAGAAAGATGAACTAAAGTGCATCAGAATCTTCTCGGAAAAAGTTCTCGGGTTCAAAATTGTTCATCATTGGCCTTTTCTTGTTGTTATTGTTGAGTAAACAGACAACAAGGGAAATTGCACTTTTAGGGCAAAGACTTTAACTCCAGAATATCGTAGCTAGATTATCGTAGCTAGATTATCGTAGCTGGATTATCGTAGCTAGATTATCGTAGCTAGATTAACTAGCTTTTTGATTGTAAAGGTTTTAGAAACAAATTTATGACAAAGTTATTAATGAATAAGAAATTAGCAATAAAATTCAAAGTGATTACAATATTTATGGGAGAATTTTGTCAAGCGTCTAGGCGTCAAGCGTCTAGGCGTCAGGGTTTAGGCGTCAGAGTTTAGGCGTCAAGTGTCTAGGCGTCAAGCGTCTAGGCGTCAAGCGTCTAGGCGTCAGGGTTTAGGAAGCGACCAAGTAAACATTATTGTTTATCCCAGGCTTTTAGGAGACTTTTCTTTAGACTTTTAACATTTTTATATGGTTTTGAATAGGCTTTTGTTTCAAGCATGGACTTGACAGAAGAATTTATTAGATTCAGATCTGGTGGTCGTTCAGATCATTCAGAAAAAGAGATATAATCGAGGGAAATTTCACTTTTGCAAAATCTTGGACTTTCTCTACTTTTTGGACCATAGCCGCGTCTTGTTTCAATGTTCAAATTTGATTTTTCAAATTCTTTTATGTAAAATTTTAGCTTTGAGAAAAACGAGATAGTTAATAATAATAGAAAATAAGCGAATGCATCTATAATCACCGTAAATACGGTAATAGTACGCCACCGCCCTCGTACAGTCGCGTAGTCGCAAAAGTTTTTTAGTATTTCATTTTTTTCAAAGCGCTCGTACTTTCAAAAAATGCGTCTTTGGTATGAAAAAATAGCCCTGAATTTCAGCTATTTTTTGATATCTAAATGAGCATTGTAGCACAAACCAGTGTCGAGAAAAACGCGTTTTTTCGGGATGGTTGCGTAGTCTAACTTTAAACATCCCGTTCTCCGCGCTGCCTTATGCTACAATGCGCACTTTGATATCAAAAAATAGCCCTGAATTTCAGCTATTTTTTGATGTCTAAACGAGCATTGTAGCATAAACCAGTGTCGAGAAAAACTCGTTCAAAGCTAGACTACGCAACACTCCACACCGTCATTATGGGGAGTGGGATACTATTACAGTAGTTACGGTATGTACTCCGTAGATTTCTGGATTAAATCTTCACAAACTCTTCACAAATCACAAAATCTTTCACAATCGATTTTTCTGTATTCCGTGAAGAAATCGTGTGATTCATCTTTCACCTAGATGAACAAGTAGTCATCGTTATTAAATTTTGGTTTCTCCTCTCCATTTCTCCTCTCCATCCATTCTTTATCATTCTTTTCTTTATCATTTCTTTATCATATCATTCGTATTTTCTCTAATAGTAGTGCACCCCAGCGAGCCGAGTTCGTGACTATTTTACGGCTTCCAAAGCTTTTGCAGAAGCACAACACTCAAATCCCCCACAAGATCTCATCGTCAGCTACATTTTCCGACCCCACATCGATAGTTTCTGATAAGCGGTTCTCGAGATTTCGAGGAATTTAGATG